TAAATACTATAAATATAGAATTATATCAAGTTTTGATCTACGATATAAAAACTATTTACAGCAAAAAAACACCTACTTTTACACATTAAAAACTATATTATAGCCTAACTATTCCTATAAACCTTACTTCGTATATAAATAACATTTAGCACATTCCTAATATTTTTCAAAAAAATTGTATGTGAAATAAAATAAAATAAACAACAAAATTTAAGTATTTTCGTCATTTATTAAATGAATATGTAATTTCTCTTACATTTTAATAACTACTATAATTTCATCGAAAACATTTCTCACCACCAGCGAATGGATGCCCACAGTCGATGATTCCGTAGAGGAAAATGCCACATCATTTATGAACAAAACTCAAACTTACAAAAAACCATATAATAAAAAACTATCTAATGAAACTTAAACAACGAATATTAACTTAATTAAGGTTATTTTCAAATTGATAAATCGTTTAATACAAATATAAATACTATAAATATAGAATTATACCAAGTTTTGACATACAATATAAAAACATGAAATTTTCCATTTCATTATTATTTGGTGTCATTAGAAGAATCCACTAAACCAACAATCGAAAAAAATACACGTAAACATAATGATCTCGGCCCCGAGTATACAACTAGTATACAATAACGATACTGTTAAAGTAAACAGTAGATCAGATTAGCAGTGCGAGTACAAATAATGCGGGTTTAGACAAGACAGTGGGACCCATTGTGCTTTTGTCCTTCACGCTTATTTTATTAGTCTGATTAATGTTGAATACACTACAGTTAATTAAACTAATTAATAATTAGAAAGAGATTAACGATAACGCACGTTACGCTCTTACTAGGGCCCAGATAGAACTTGGACACCACACAAGCACATAAAGGACATTTAGTATCATGAGGCCTTATTTAATAATTAACAGTTTTAAATCTGGGCTTATAGAGCATTTTCTTCTTAATGAGCCTAAGCCACTAAGCCCGTTTATTTAGGATACTTGTCTTCCCTTCGTAATGCATGTAAGATATTTAGCCAGGTCAAAGTTGCTGTCAGTGTTTATATTTTATCGTCCCATTTTATTCTATAAAATACATAAATATACAGTAAACGACTAATTAATTATTGATCGCACTGTTGAAATAAAAAAACATTATTTTTCACATTGTTATATGTTTTGTCGCCTCATAATACGGTCAAACCACAAGCTATTAAATCGGATCTTTCGCAATAAAATAATATAATCTAGTTTGGGTTCGTATAAGACAATGTAACAAGGCGTGATCATGAATGTAAGAGAGGAACATTAAAATAGATTTGACCAAATTTCAGATACACCTTCGAGTTTTCACATATAAATCTCTCGTAACATAGTTCCATCCCTCGTAATAATTTATTGTACATAAGATAACATATAAAACTGAAGGCATATATAGCTGTATATGAATTGGATATGTTTAAACGATTTTTTCTTCTATATATTGAATAATACCTGTATTAGCATTAGTACCTATCGCAATGAGTCTTGGTCTACGTCAACATGGTCCCATACAACTTAGTTTTACTTGTGCGATAGGTATGGATTTTTCTGTAAAAACATAAATGCATATTAGATCACTTTTTCTATATAACAAAATATCTTAGTTTATGTAAGTGATGTCACCGAATCAAAAATCAATATGCACCTTTGATTAGATTGGTGTAAAAACGACTGATATCCCTCTCAAGAGACACCCATCATGCTGCATACCCATTGAGATCGTAAAGATATTATGGAGTCCACTGAATTATATGAAGAAACTAATCCATCCGTCGATGCGTCGATACATATGAATATGATGGTTAAAAGCATTTTATGGAATTTTTTCCTTCATATGAAGCAAAAATACAAGTTGTGATATTAAAAGTGCGAGTTGGGTTTGTTTAGTGGATATACACTCATCGATCTCAAAAGTTACGGCTGGTGACCAGTTCAGAAACCATTTACAGTTCAGACATAGATAACACATAAAGTAGCAAGTTTACTACCAACTTTCAAATAAATGTATAAACTATGAAACTTTATATAATACCCAAATGTGATAATGATTAGAGTAAACTACCGTGAGAATGCAAAGAAAGATGGTAGTTTGCTAGATGGGTGTTGTTATATTATTACAAGTATTTTAAAAATGGTTGGTGGCATTGGCAGCATGAAATTCTGTAGCTCTCATGCCAATATGCAATGTTTGAGCCTCGAAGAAACAAATGTAAAGTAATAAAAAAGCTGGGAGGTCTCATTTTTACAAAACTTGAGACCTTTAGAGTCAAATGTGATACTAATAAACTGAAAAAATGACTAACTGGTTTTTGGCATTTTTTGCAATTAGAACTGCAAAAAATTCAGCTATAACAAAAGAAAACAAGAAGTCAGAGAAAGAAAGAGTAGTCAAATTCAAGTTCCATACGGCAGCTACTCTTTTGTTTTCATTAGATTCGTGTAGCAGCCGTAAAATCTAAACTTAATTTTTACTTTAGGATACACAAGTTACTGATACTGTTCCATGAGTCATATATTTTTATTTTTCTAGTAAATCTATATACTTTCTAAGTATCTTCGTCGATCTAAACATGCTAGGTTTATTAATTATATATATATATATATATATTGTTAGATAGTACATACACGTCAGCCATTATCATAAAAATAATAAAATAAATAAGCTATTCCCATGATCATATCTTATCATAGATTTCTGAACTTTCAGTTGTTGAGTCATTTAAAATTTATGGACCGATATTTGTCCTTTAGGAACTCAAAAGGCCAAATGACCAAACCAAAAACGCTCGACTGTGGTAGTTTTGAACCGTAAGGGTTTTCTTCATTTGACAACATTTTTATTCAGTTCTTATATAATATGTCAAATCCATTTTCTAATAATATTAAAAAGAAATCAAACTGAAAAACTAAAAGGAAGACAAAGGTGATACCCAGTGCCGGCAAAAGTCCCAAATATTTGACGTAAGTTATGTTATTTCATAGTCATCCGAAATATTTTTTGAGTTGGTTCAACATTAAGTGGGGACTGGTCTGTCTTGGGGAGGTGTAGGAACCAAACACAATCCTAAATTACCTGTTTTTAAGTTGAACTACATTTATTATAACAAAATTTATTATTTGTTTTTTTTTGAAAATAAGAATACCTTACACTAAAGATGCATTAATTGTAAAAAAGTTTTGAGATGAATAAATTTAACATTCATTTAAAAAAAAAAGAAGAATACCTTTTAAATTTTTATTGTATTTTTTTCTTTTTCTATACAACGAATACAAAAACAACAGGACCAGGACGTATGTACGATCAAGGGGTAGATGTACTCAACTTCTCCTCCATCGTTACAACTTGTGTGTCCCTGTTAACATGCGCCCACACAAAATTAATGCGCAGTGACCATATAAATGGTATTATTTCGTTCCATAGAGAGTAAAGTTTAGCTATATACGAATTCCAGTCCAATTAATAATATGACACCAACATAAGTCGATGTACTACATGCCTTCGCTATATTGTCTATTATTATTTGCGTATAACATCTACATTAAGAATAAAATAATTATATATTTGTCACATTAGAATATGTTGACAAAAATATTTATCACATAAGGATACATATTTTATCAAGAGATGTACGAATCTCTAACAGAATTATTGTCCTTTTTTTAACACCTCTATCAGAATTATTGTAACCGTTGAAAACAATCGATCAATGGAGACAAATCATGTGATAATTGTTTTAATTTGGTAGCATAATAGTACCCGTACCCAGCATATACTTCTATTGCATTTAAAAACGTCTAAACTCTATTATAAAATGTGTAAACTCATCTAAAGAAATTAATGGTATTGCCGGTGGATACCAACGAGCTATAACGTTATTCGTTGTATAAACAAATAACATTGGGATTTTTTTCTTCGTCTTTAGTTTTAAAAAGAATAATATAATTATGCTATGAACTCTTTCTAAACCTCAAAAATACGTGACTACGTGATTTCAAAGACGTGAAGAAATGTTTCAATGTGGGCTCATACAGAAGAGAGCATGAAACTAATCAAACTTCCTTGAACTAGTTATACTGATCACACAGATACAAGGAAAACGTAAGTTAATATATATGGTAGGACTAGGAGAAGCTAGTAGAGATAATATATAGTATGATTAGGGTAATTAACGAAGATTAGGTTAGGTAACACAGGCAAAAAAAACATTAGCATTGTGGAACTTCAAAGTCCACGGCTTCTCCGTACAGGCAATCTCTCTCTATTTCCCCTCTTCCCATTACATTTCCACTCTCTCCCCTTTTCAGACTTCATTTATATAATCACCATATGATTAAACTGGATTCAAGAACAATCAGAAAACATGATTTCACTATTGGTTAATGTTGCTCCAAGTCATTACTATTAAGTTGTTAATGTTATATCCTTTTTAAGATTGTTTATAAAAAATATTTTCATCTTATTATATTATTTGTTATATTATTAATCTCGCTTTGTATAAGAATCTCACATATTATTCCTATCAACATCTCCAAGGAATAAAAGTTTGCTAACTTATCATATTAGAATAAAGATTTTTCATTTCAGAAATCATTTTTCTGGCTCACTCAATGAACTTATTTTCCAGTTAAAAGTAACTTTCTAATTTCCAACCGCTGCATAAGAAAATTATACAATACAAATGGTTCAACAAAGTCAAGAAACATATATAATCCTTATATTTTATTCTATTTAAAAAATCATTTGATAATATAATAACTAATGGGAATACAAATTCAAACGGAAAAAGAAAAGTGGCCACTTTATTGGACAGCATATTTACTTTTTGTACTGAGGATGACTTTATAACAGTTGTAAAATAAATAAAATTCTAAAATAAATACATTTTCTAAAAACCAATTAAAAATGAAAATTTCTTTTATAAATAAGCGTTCCATATCTCCTCTTCTTTCCTCGTCCCCTGTCCTCTCCAAACTCTCACACACACAAGCTCTCTCTCTCTCTCTCTAACACATGAGAGAACAAGCTCATCTCACAATCTCAGCCGTTGATTATACCGCCACCTTAGATGGAGAACACTCAAGGATCCTCACCTCCTCACATGGACGCTTCTCGGCCTTCACTAGGCTTCCCTCTAGGCACAGCTCTGCTTCTCATAATCATTTTCAGCCTCTCCGGAATATTCTCTTGCTGTTACCATTGGGACAAACATCGCTCTCTCCGCCGTTCTTTGGCCAATGCCTCCCGTCACCCCTCCGCCGATATAGAGTCTTCTCCGTTTAAACCTAGACCACCTTTTCCGGTAAACTATCTTCTTCCTGTTCTGAAATTATTATTAATTCCAAAGTTTAAAAAGCTTGATAAATTACGATTTTACCTACAAAAAGGAGAAAAAATATTCACCAAAACATTATTCCAAATTTTGGAGCTTGATAATTTCGATTTTACTAACAAAAACAATTACCAGTACATTTTATTTAATTTCTCATATAATATTTGTAACTCGTGAGCAACATAATTACTGTGGAATACTTTTCCTTTTTAGTAAAAGACAACAAAAGCTTACGGGTGCTAAATCCTAATATTTGAAAGATTTTGCTTACTAAATCTTAGTAAAAAAAAATATCTTAGTAAGTAAAATAAGTTCAAACAATAGTTGAAGTAAATACAAAACAGGGTTTTATAAATATTTTAGAAATCGGAACTATAGAGTTCGAACATTTTAGTTAGTAACTATAAAGTAAAAACAATACGATATGTAAATCCAGTGAGTTGATTATGAACTAAAAAATGACTATTGTGAACAGGATTTGAAGAAACCCCAGAGCGTAACGGTGCTGATGCCTGGAGATAATACGCCTAAATTTATAGCATTGCCGTGTCCTTGTGCACCACCACGACCGGAGAAGCTCACCGTCGATGTTCAAAGTCCGCCGAACTCTCCACCTGTTAAGCCGACGCGGTTTCCTCTTTGTTAGATTTAATTTAGCAAAATATAACAAAAAGAAGGGGAAAATGTCGAAATATCTCGTTTTGATGTACATAAGGATCATTAATTTACATTTTAATTATTTTTTTCACCACTTTATTAGTTTGTATTCATTGATGGATTGGTTTGATTGTGCGAAAAATACTGCTATTAAACAAGCGATTATGGAATTAGATGTTAATTTTTTAAAATGTGATAGTTTGATTGATTAAACAAATATAAACTCGTATACTTAAAAATAGCTAATATTGCGTGGTTATTTTGTTTTCTGTGGTAAGCATTGTTCATTGATTTGAGCTACTACCTACGAATGTTGTATGCAGCAACAAGATGTCAAATTAAAACACCACGTTTCGTTAGACGATATTTTCGATGTCGTTGTTCTGATTCAGTTCTGTTTTCTTTGGTCATAAAATATGAAATGATAGATGTTAACCGAAAAATTATTATATTTTTTTTGTACTGTTTACTTTTACCAAAACAATGCTCCCTCTGTTTCTAGTTTAGGTTAAAAGCACTAGTTTTAAAAAGCTTGTTATATAAAAACTGATATTATTTGATTAGTCACATTATATCAATAAATGTAAAAATTATCTAGATATATGAAAACTATCTATATTTTAAACATATTTTAAACTATTTATAATAAACAACGGAGGGAGTATAGATTACTACCTGTTTAGGACATCTCAAGATTTGTCTGAATTGTACCATAAATAGCCAAGGCAGGTTTTGCATTCTTTTCCGCTTTCATGCAATCACGTTTGATACTTTAATTGGGAAAACAAAGCAAACCGATTAAATTTAAAGATTGTGCGTTACAACAAGAAGCCTCATGATTAATCATTGAATATATATTGTAAACATTTCGAAGAACTAGTTATCATTTGAGTTTGACAAGAATGACAAAGATGATGTCATTATTACATTTACAGTATGGTCGGACAAAGAAAAGAATAACTATCATCTTCTATGGGTTCTACTTCTACCAATAGATATTACGCGCCTAGATGGGGTAAAAAAAAAACGGATAATGAAACCAAATGTCTTAAAACTCTTATAAAACAAGACATGTTAATTTGTTGGATAACTAAAACACCAACAGTTATTTTGGTTGCTCTACATACGAATGAGTCGTCAAATAGTTCTCCGTTAATTACGATCTCAACTCCATTACAAATCTGTTTTTAATAAAGCTAGGGACCCTCAAATATATAAATTTGGCACTAAAAATTCTCAATCGAAAATTGACGTCACAAACAAGTTTCTTAACCAAGTGCTCAAAACACATCTCCACCACTTGGACCCCTCCAATTTAACAATCAACTTCATAACCTAACTTCACTGTTGTATATATTATTATTCTTATACTTTGTTGATTTGTCATTTTAAAACTGGAATCAGTTTTAATAATACATTGGTTGATCCTTATATTCTAATCCGAATACTCCCGAACCTGATCGATAGAGAATTAGAGATTTAGCTTTTGCTCAAGTCCACTAATTATCAATTATGCAACAAAAAAGAATATACCAAGTGTTAATAAGTTAGGTCGGAGTTTCGTATCAAATCTCTTCTTTTTTTTTCCATATCACGTTAAATTTTTCAGAAGGATCACTACCACTACATAAGATAATAGTATAAAAATTGTTAGAAACGAATTAACTTCCATCGAATAAGTACTTAAATGTCTGCAATTTGCAAAGAGTAAGCAGTGACTGTTTCTAGTGCATTACACTGCAAAGTACAAATTGACTGTACTGATTCCTTTGATGACGTTTTCTATGCTTCGTGGTTCTTCCACGAACAATTGTTTTTGTGGAAAATACTTTTGTTTGTCGGCACTTTATTAGTATTTACTTATAATGCATATCTACTAGAAGAGCTTATCATATTAAATGTTTGTTATATTACACGCTAAGAAATCAAAGCTATTATGGGGACACCAGTAACATGGAAGCAACATACATCAGTGTATTTTATCCCAAATACACTGATGTACATCTGAGCTCACGTTTCATCTATACAAATTGTTATATGTCTATTTTGATGTATTATAGGAACTTGTCATACGCTCAAACAAGAAGCGATTAAGTTCATAATTACTTTGAAATTGTTTTTTCATACGGATCATTATATATTTTGTTTATATAAATTAGCTTTTATATGTTTCAGAATTTGGTTAACATAACTAATTGACTATCGGAGATTAACGCATAAGTAGTTGAATTGAGTTGTGAAAATGGGAGAGAGTTTTATTTCTTATTATATATTGGAAAAGTTGCAGTGCCACCTATTAGTATTGTCATTATATTCCTGTTAAAATATTATCTTATCATGAAAAACAAAATATACTTAGTCATATGAAAACATGTGAGCGCACCGCAATCACCGCTGAGACCTAGGGATCATACCATTTAGTTTTCTGTTTTAAAAGAGCTGGGGAATTATATAAAACACTTTTAAAATTACATAGAACATGTATATATGAGTTTTTTATAGCAACTTTTATAATTTCGGAAGATTCATGTACATAATGTGATTAATAAATAAGAAAACATGCATCCTCAACGTTTTCATTTTTCATGAAATAGGAATTTAATGTCGAATATTTTTGTGTATAATAAACTCTCAAAATTAATTTAACCACAGTACATTATGGTTTATTCACAAATAACTGGTAATAAACTTCAGAGAATGTTGGTACGCATACAATTCTAGAAATAACTACACAATAAAAATTCAAATGAAAATAAAACTTATAAGAGACTTTTAATAATATCAAAAGAAAATGGATGAAAAGTGGAGTATAATGTAAAACGTACGGATGATAAGCAAGACAAGAGCGGGCCGACGATTGAAGAAGATCACATGGGGAAACATTTCTTATCGCTTCCTTATTTCTGACGTAACCTTTTTCATTTTCTTTTATTTTTCTTCATTCTTCTTTAATACACTAGCAGGCAGCTACAGTGATATTAAAGATGTCGTTCATTTCTTTTGTTTTGAGGTTATTAACTTATTATCCATCATAATTATGCGTGACACATTTGATTATTCACGTGTTACTGATGGTTTCTTGATTTAAGGGCAATATTGTGTTAGTATCAAACTAATTTAAAATTATTTAGATGAATGCTTTCTAATTAACTAAATTTACATAGTTTACAAAACTAGTGTGAACATAAATCATGTATGTCCTATTATATTCTCTTTTTGACTTTTATTGTTTTTATAATATCTGCTACACAACTTGTTGGGCTAAATCACAATTCAAAGAAGTTTCATCATTCGTTTCCAAGATGTAGATAATGTTAAAACAGGGATGTGGACAATGTTATATAATGCGCGCATATATACACACTTTTGCAAGTTGCATAACTAAGATTCTTGGTTAGACCTAACTAATAAATCCTTATAGTATTGCTATTTCAAGCCAGGTTTACTTTAATTTTTTAGAGGAAAATTTGATTTGTGTTTGCTCAGTTTTCTAATCATTACCCGATCAAAGTCTAATTTTTTTTAAAAAATTCATACTTCTTCCAAAGGAGTACCTTTACAACAAAGGGATAGAAAGAAAAAGAAAAAGAAAAAGAAAAGGATACAAGATTTTAAATAAAACCCATGTGATTAGAGAATTTAGACTTTGGAGTGGTCAATCTTATCAAAGTCTAATTATCTAAAAGAGAGAACGAGTTAAACATATTTAAAGCCTTTTCTGTTGTCTCCGGATTCTGGGTAGCTTCTTTTTCATTGTGCTACTGAGTGTTATCGTGACAAGTTGTTCCATAGTGCCCAAGTGGACTGCTTTCACAATGGAAAAACTGATATTTGTGTTGTGTGTGTACCTTCCTTTTTAGGAAGATTAACTCCATTCTAATATGTGATGATGCTCCTTTTCGAATGATTATAGCTTCAGTATGTACATTAAATAATAAACAGAGAAACAAATATTGTGTAGATCAAATAAATTTTGGAAAAAAACTATCAAAGGTTTTATCCCATCAGATGATAATCATATATTATATATATTAAATAAAATTATATGTTTTTACAGTAATTGTTTACTATTTCACTCCAAAACTACATTTAAGGTTTTCAGGTCTTGTAACAAGTTTTAAGTTGTCTATTATATTATGATATCATTTATTCCTCCCTCCGTTTCAATTTATATCTCGTTCTAGAATAAAATTTTCGCTTCAAAATAGTATCATTTTATAATTTCAATGCAAATTTATTAACTTTATATGTTATTCTCTTTTTATTGCCTGAAATGTGGTTATGTTTATATGTAATGATATTTTTTTAAAGAATATATATATAATTAAATATTTTCTTAATCTGTGTGTAATAGTATAAAACGATAACTAAAATAAAACGGAAGGAGTATAACTTATCGACTCCAACTCGTATAATTATAATAAATGCATTTACGATAAATGTAATTTTGTAATAAATGGATTTACGATAAATAATTTTACGCTATCACTGTATTATTCATCTGGAATACTTAAAATCAAGATTACCATATTTGCATACCGAATGTTAGAATCTACAATATAAAATTTGCATCAACGAATTTGTTAGGAATTCTAAACTTAAATCTTTTATATTCCGTGGTGGACTTGATTGTTTGGGCTGTAAACTAAAGCCTATTACGTCTGCTTAATCAGTGTTCCATAACGGACCAAGTTATATATACTCCTTAAGAGTCCACTCTCAGTCAACGATCCAATTGTCCGTCGACTATAAGATACTAAATCAATAGATCCTGGCAGTGGCAATAACAAAAAACCCATTCCTTTTGAGGCCCAATTATTTAGACATTATGTTTAGATCGGCAAGTTAATTTGTTTACATACTGACACAGTGCATGTAAAGATGATGCGTTGATGGTGGAGGGCCTGGAGGCAGAGTGTTAACAATATAAGCACTCCCATCATTGGCCACTAAAACTGTATGATTAATACTCTGTTTATCATATGTATCTTTCTGATCAGAGACATCGGTCACTGTCATTAACAAATCCTATAATTTCAATTATCAGTCTCTTCAGTATTAACTTTTTACTTTTTTCGTAATCAATAGTTTAGTTCACTAAAACATCATTACACCTTAATTCGATCTTGAACTTTTAATTAAGGCTATAACCTCCATATATTCTCTAAGCCTAACATCTCTCTTTTTATTTCCTTTTTTCACAACTCATAATGTCTTCCCCTAGAAAATTAAAGCTTACAATGGAAATAAACATCAAACTTCTACTTTTTTGAAAAGCGTTAAGTAAATAATATTATGATTTATTAATTTCATCATCAAAACTCTTTACAAGCAATTTCCTCCATAACCAGCGTTCCTGAATAATGCTTGCTTTATATCTTCAGAGGTTATGAAATCTCTCTGCTGAGCTACCTATAAAGGCACACACAAGCTCATCAATCATACCATTGCAAATGTGTTATTTAGATACTAGTTCATATATTATATATTGATATATTCTTAGTACCTCGGAACAAGAAGCATGCATAGAGAAATCACTAAAGCAGCTAATAACACATTGTTCAATCTCCAAGCCTAGAGTCTCTAGTGTATTAACAGTTGATAGAAGCAATCCCGGTTTAGGCGAGCAACATATCTCAACCCGAGTATCTACGTCTCTCCGGTCCACTGCAAACTATCCAAACATAACGAAATAAACAAAATCAGTCCGCATTAAACTATGATAACGTAGGGTGTTTTAGTAACAATTCAAAGTACAGGGGTTAAAATGTAAAACTACCAAAAATCAAGAATACTGACATACAAAAAAAAAAAAATTTATTCTTGCTGTACCTTTGGTGAGTTTCTGACCAGAGGTTCGTTTGTATTAAGATCCTTGATATCACCGAAGAGCTTAGAATGATGTGAACTGTTTCTAATTCCAAGTTTTTGTTCTTCGTCTTGTAATTTGTTGATTTTGTCTAAAAGCTCCTTCATGTAGTCTATGGCATCTCCTAATATCGATGTCCTGTCCATCTGATTTTAAATATAAGAATAATGATTATTTTAAAAACTTTTAAACGATTATATACACTTTTTCAACGGGTTCTGTAGATTCCCATAAAAGTAAGAACACAATAATTAAACAATCTTTAAAAAAAAGGTTCAAACAAGAAGAAACAAACAAATAACGTTAAGAACATATAAAAGGCTATTTTCATGAAACCTATTTAATATATTAGTTCACTCATTATGAAAGACAAGTCTTTTGAACCAAATGTTAAATTTTCAAACAAAACAAATACTACAGCTAGCTAGGGTTTAAATTTCGAGATTTAACTAATTGTTTCGAACATGAAGGTTAAAAAAGGCTAATCTCTTTATGAACCCATATAATAATATTTACATTAATCCCACTAATTAGATATATAGGAAGAATCTTTCCTTGATTTTGACCATTTTAATAATAATTATTTAAAAAGGGATAAATCATAAAAGGTTAGAATTATTATTTTACCTTACTGATTTTTGGAACAATGGATCGGAGCATAGAGAGACGGTCATTAAGCCGTTTTCTTCTTCGTCTCTCCGCCATGAGATTCTTTGAAGGTTGTCCTTCAAGCTTTTTGCTCTTATTCTTGTTTGTTGTCTCTTCTCCTCCTCCTCCAAAGTATCCAACACTGAAGCTTTTGCTCTGATCAGACTCCATCATTGGAGATGGATACGACGAGTGATTAATGAAGCTATCTTCTTGTGAAGTTGGAAGCATCACTGGTGGTGAAGAGGAAGAAGAGTCTATAATCTCTTGTAATGCCTCCAGGAAAGGGTCATTGACTGTTGAGGCCGCGGAGGAGATTAACGGCGGAGATGAAGATGAGGGTGGTGGTGGTACTTGTGGTGGTGTTTGGTGAAGAAGCAATGGAGGAGGTTGAGAGATTAGTTCCATTAAAGAAGATGAGTATAGAAGGGTATTTTGGTCTTCTTCTTCATTGTTGAAACTGAGGTAATCAATATTCCATCCATTTGGAAATAAGTGATGATGATGATGATCAAATTCACCAGTATAGCTCAGATTATTGGTGTTGTAGTTGTTGTCGGTGGTTTCTTGCTTTGTCGGAACAAGAAACTCTTCGAACATATTCATCTGAGTCGACAGTTCCATCTTTCTGTAATAGAAGAAGTGAAAATAGAGAGTTTGTGTGTGTGAGAGTGTTGTAGAAAGAAGTTGAAAGTGTAAGCGTATTTATATATAACATCAAGAGAGATGTGTGAGTAATAGAGTATACCGTTGATTAATTTAAAGACACTCGTCTTTGTTTTTTGGTTAGTATTTTAATTGATTCTATTTGAATATATGCTATAGGCTTTATATAATGCATGGCTTTATTTTGTTTGATAACCCATTTTATTGTTATTTCTCGTGACAAATAATAAAAACATTTTTTAGCTCTATCCTCTACTCGGAATACATGAGCTATTTGTATTACAAGACTTGACGTGAGGCGATGTAACTATTATTTTGCCAAGGATTGTCTATGCAAAATGAAAGCTGCTAATGTTAATCGAGTTTTACTCAAAATCATATAAAACGCATAAGCTTTCTTTTCTTAAATGAACTCGATAGAGTTTAAGCCTTCTTCCAAAAAAAAAAAAAAAATACTCGATAGAGTGGCATAGCCGCATAGTTTGTCGAAAGTTAGTAGGAAACCATATTTAAACTTGATAGAAGAGATGCTTGATAATTTATGTTATTGCAGTATGTGCCATTTATAGTTTTACAGGTTCTAAAATTTGCTGGTCATAGTTCAACTTAACTGTTGTGAATTTTTATATACCAAACCTAACTAACAACATGGATGGAAATATGATTGTTCAAGATTTAAAAATTTATAAGAAAAAAATGTAATTTCTAGTAAATTATGGTATATACAAGCTTTTCAAAGATTTTATAGTGCTATAGACAAAATGAATCGTTGTTCGTAAAACTATTCATGATATTCACATATGTTATAGATAGTTGATCATTATATATAATAAAATCTATATTATATGATGAAGTAATCGTTGATTTGACCAGACTGAAAAGAAAAACTAGCTAACAACATGTGTATTCTACATAGATGGCTTTCTATGTCGAAATGTGTATGGTGCAACATTTAGATATACAAAGAAAGACGGACTATTTATGTGTCAAGATTGGTCTTAACATTTTGGAGTTATAAATAAATTAGTAAGAATTGCAATATTTCTTAACGAAGGGTTTATGTCCATTTGTATTAATTTTAAAAATTTTGGAGGTACAATACATATGTTTCACTTGTTTATTGGTTACGTTGAAGACTGTTTCTGCTATGTGTTTAATCTATTTATGTCCTATTAAATTTTGAACTCTATGTGTTTTTTCAATAGGAGATGCAATGCAGTAGGAAGGACTTAAGTTGTTGGACAAAAAAACCAAAACTTAAATTCAGGTCATATTGATAAATGAAAGGTGTATTTATCAAACCTTTTGAGTCTAATAATTAGTTATACGTAACTGACAAACAAAAGAAAGAGTATACACGTTTGATTAATCCCTTTCATTACAGGAAAGCTTTGATCCCACAAATTTCGTGTCTCGACCAAAACGGATCACCATTGTCTACCTTCTTTTTTCTTTTGAGCAACACCATTGTCTATCCCTCGATATATATATATATATATATTTCAAATTTAAAGATGATATAGTGACAGGAAAAACATAAGTAGTTTTTTTTCCAATACTAATCAAATCATTGATTACATCATCATATATAATATATATTTTGTTACATATGATATCAACTATCTACAACATATGCGAACATAATTTTGCATTTGTGTGTACCCAAATAACTCAATTGCAACTCAATTGCATCTAAAGATTATACTAATTCTATAATTATCAAAAGTTTTGTTTTTAATTGCAATTTGACCTTAAATCAAGGTATCGTTTGTCAATAATAGTCTCAACTATTTTAATGATAGGTTAAAGAAATAGTTGCCTTATGTAGTGTTCACATTTGTCTTATGTTTGATATTTGACGTTCCTTCGTCTAATAATTCTACGCTTCGAAAGTCAAAATTTCATAATTAAGATGGCTCTTCGCAGCGATTATTCTAAACTAATCACCGTACAAACTGGAACTTCCCTTGGCTGTTAACATAAGGGATGTAAATTGGATTCGTTCAAAAAAAAAATTAGCAGATGTATAAGTTAAGTGGTTAAACACACATATGGCTATTGTTTAATTATACGATACAAATCCTTGGAAAATCACGCATATGCCTAGAATCTAGCTTTTTCATTTTATGTGTATTTTTATGTTTGCATGTGAACTTCTTGCTTCAGTTCTATCCTCTAGTATATAAAACCGTACAAAAACAGAACTTAAAATAAGTTTAAAGAAAAAGAACTTAGAGAATAGAAAAATAATAGAATAAGAGAGAGAGCACATGGCAAAGAGAAGCTGCATGTTCACGAAAACATTTCCGAAAACAAACAAACTGTCTACGGCGGCCTCTCTCCCCCTTTCAGTTCACTCACTTTCAATCTATACTTTACCAATATATATACACATTCACATTCCCACAGTACATGTGAGTATATTTATATATATATGGAGTGTAAATTTTGATAATATTAAAGTATTTCGAAATTCTCAAAAAAAAAGGACGGTGCACTAGTGATACTTTGAAATTTTTCAAGAAAAAAAGTTTTCAAGATGTTGATCACAAATTCAATTTCATCTAAGTAAAACAGTTAAAATTTTAAACACAGTTTTACCAGAGGCTTGACTCGAGACACTAAAAGAGATTATAAGTAAAGTTTTGGAATTTCTAGAATTGATTTTTTTTTTTTTATCGTTAATAGTAAAACTAAACAATTATTTTCGGTGATTAAAATAAAATATACAACACCTGGTAGGCTTCTATATATATTGTAGAAGATTAATTGCCACCTTCATTAGATTAAAACTTAAATCCATGATGTTTAATGTTAATATTATTTTGTCAATTTTAAATGACAAGTCGTATTGTAGGAATATGGCGTCTACATTTACAATTCAAAAATAGTTTATGATTTTTTTTTTAAACAATATAGTTTATGATAATTATATGTAGTTTTTAAGTATGAAACAAACATACTGTTTTATGTTTTAACCTACAAAACAGTCAAAGTCAATCTATTATCTATACATACTAAAAAAAATTGCTTAACAAATCTTAAAATATAGATAAACCTACCACGTGTCGCTATGGGCACACATACACAAATGAGTGTATGTATAAACTTTTTAATACGTATTATAAAAAGATAAGTGTTGTGAAGAAGAAGAGACGGACAAGTCTGTGGAATGGATCGAGGCTTGTTTGTATTCGGAAGCTGTAATATGCGTGAGGGTTTGTGGGGCACGTTGAAGTTCAGTGAACTGTCATCTACTGTTGACCCTGCATGTTCCTCTTCACATGACTCGACTTACCAAATAGCTGCTCGTCAAAATTTAATTATAACTTCCGACTTCTTCCTCTGTACGTACTCGTTATTTTATTAACTTCCTTTTGGATTATAAGCATAAGTCAAAACCCTTGCCATATCTAAGAAATTTCGCCGATTGAGATGGTTCGACACATTATACTGGTTATTTTTAACATTGATTCTCATCTACGTAGAGGAAACATTCACCTTCTAGATGTTAGAACGAGAGGATAATTAAAGTAAATAATAGTACAAATTACTGCCAGCTAATAAATGAGTGCTAGTTATTTGTCTGAACTTTGATTACAACTAAACATCAGAATTAATTTGTTTTAAAGCCCTACCTTATCATCTAAAGAGTTGGCCATATTGTTTTAAAATATATAGGGTGTTCAACAGGTCCGGTTTCAGTTTGTTTTTTGGGTTTTTGTATTTCGGTTTATTAAAATTAGTTACCATATTAATATTATATCTACATTAGTTAATTCGGTTTATATATTATTGGTTTTTGATCAAAAAAAAAATTATTGGTTTTTTCTCGCTTTTATACCAAAAAAATTAACTATATTTATATTTTATGTCACATTTTACTTTATATGATTAATAATCAGATTTATTAAAGCATATTATATATTATGTTCTCTTATTTTAAAATAGAACATCTTCTTTTCATTTTAATATTTAAATAAAAATAAGAAAAATATTAATATCATAATATTATTAAATAACTCTATTTCAGCATAAATATTTACCAATAAAAATAATTTTTATTTAATTTAATGAAAATGAGAATTTTTTTACATTGAAAAAATAAAAATTTAATCAAATCAATGCTTTAAATATGAAAATACTAATATATTTTAATTAATCGATTTCTTTGGTTTATTTAGTTTGATCGGTCTATATAGCGAACCATATACATATATCATAGTTTCTTAAAATTAACATTCATTCGGTCTATTCGGCATCAAATCCAAACAACTTTCTTTATTCAGTTCAGTTTTATTTTAATTGATTTGGTTTTACCGGATTTGAACACTTGATTATTAAAATCTCATTTCTTATAAATATATATAAATAAAAGAAGTGAAAACTTAATATGTATTACATATATAAGTATTTGAGAGAAAATAAAACCAGACCTATGATTTAGTATTGAAAAATATAAACAAAGTTCACCTTTAAATAGAAATCTGATAAAGTAAACATGTAAATCCAGCATTTGGAGCTGAACAATAACAAAAAGGGTTTACAATAAATAAAGATGGACGTGATTCGGTTCTCAAGGTGAATGTATGACAATTAGAAGTGGCCAAGGCCATATTAATTTTTTTTTGACCACGTTAATTTTCTAATATATTACTACTTTTTGGGTGGTAAATGTGAAGAAAATAAATAAAACGCGCTAATATAATACCATGTTTGGGTTAAATGCTCTCGTAACTCGTATAATACTTGTTGTTACTGACAAAAAGCAACTGTTAGTGAAATGAAAAGTTTAGAACATCTCCAATAAAGATTTTATCCATTAAAATAAAAATATATATGTATATATATATATATATATATATATATAGGTATGGAATCCATAAAATAGTGTCGAATTCTTATTACAAGTTTTAAAAAATTTGTTTTTAGAAAATTTTAAATAAAGATTCTAAACTATTTTGTGGATTCCCCA